ACTCTAGGTGGGTATGACTGGTGTTTGGCCCTTGGAATTGCAAAGGATTTGTTCTGGGTGAAAGTAATCCCCCAGGAAACAGGGGCAAGGAGTTTTGGAAATACGTGCTGTGTCAAAGCTGACCCAGTGGCAGAGCTCTGGAGGGCTTGGTCAAGGTTTGAGGGGTCTTTCTGGCTACTGCTAAGCCTTTAGTTCAGCTGGAAAGATGACGGTGGAGGGAAGCTCTGTGCATGTGGATCGGCTCCTGGCTGCCCCTCTGCTAGTAAGGGTGCCCTTCTCTGAAGGCACCCTGTGCTGGGTGTCTCACCGGTGGGCCTGCTCTGGCCTTGGAACCTCTGGGCACAGGGTTATGATGGTGCCACAAGTTGGGAGATGAGGTAAGGCCAGAGGGATTTGGATGTAAAGCTTTCTGCGTAGCTGCGTTGGTCCCTGGGGGTCCCCTCTTGCTGTTAGCCACAGGGGAAATGCTCTGGTGCTGCTTCTGCCCTGGGGCAGGAGCTGCTCTGGGATGTGTTTTGTCTTAAGGTTTTTGTTTTGCCCTGAACAGAGCCAGCTGAAATATTTTTGGCTTGCTGGGGTTTTTAAGTAACGGGTGTGTCAGCAAGTGCCTCTCTCGTGATGAAAAGGCTTTCATGCAGCCATCCTCAAAGATGGTCAGGGTCTGGCTTTGGAAAAATGCTCTGTAGTTGTATCTTCAGAGGCTGGGGAGAAGGAGGGGGGAATGGGTGCAAAGCGATCCCTGGAATTCCATCCTTGCGGGATCCGGCATACTTGGCTTCCAGCTGTCACAAGCAGCTTGCTGGCTGGAGGATCGGGCTGTGTAGCTGAGGATCCCCTCCCCTCCCCTTCTTCTGAAGAAGGCCAGTGCCCCGAGCTGGCATCGGGAGGCGGCGAGGGGCTGTGCGGTGCCCAGGAAGCCCCTGTCCCAAAATGCTGGGGTGTGAGCCACAGAGGGGTTTAGGGCAGATTGTGCATGGCTGGGAGGGCGTAAGGCTGAGTGGCTGTTTGAGGTTTCTGGGGGGGCCAGCTGTAAGGGAACGGCTGCACTCCAGCCTGGACGGCGCTGGCCTGTGTCTGCGGGGAGAGCTGGGGACAGTGCTTGCTAACCTCTCTGGACCTGGCACTGCCTCTCGGTAATTATGTCTTTAATCCTGGATCGATGAGGACTAGATGGCTGAGAACACGAGTTGGGGGAGGTGGTGTGTCCTGATGGAGGAAGCCCCAGGGGGAGAGCCCTCTTGGGCAGCAGATACCCTGTTCTGCTGGCCCCTCTTGCCCGTGATGGAGCTGTGCCTGCAGTTCAGGGCAGGAGTGACAGCTACACGCGCAGGGCAGGCTCCAGACACTCAGAATCACTGTCCCGCTGCTTAGCATGGCCTGATCCTGTGGAGAGACCCTTCGGTGACCACTCCAGAGCATCACCGCTCAGTGTCTGTGGGTCTGCAGAACTGTGGGCTTCATCCAGCCTGGACCACAGCCCACTCCCTTGTCTGGCTGCCCTGATGTGACAGGCTCCCGAGAGCCTCTGGCTGCCACCTCTCCCCAAAGCTCTCTGCTCTGGCCTGGTGGCCCCAAGGGGAAGGGGGCCTGCACCTGTCCCTGTACTACCTCCTGCCTGGGCTGGGGGCCGTTTGGGTGCAGTGGGACAAGGAGAGCTGCTGGGTGAGGGACCTGTCCTGTTCCTTCCCGCTGCTGTTGTGTTTGCTCCCTGTGGAAGGGACAGGAAGGAAACAGCCTCACGGCTGCTCTGGCCCCATATCTGGGGCCCTTAGCAGCCTTGTGAGTTTCATTGTTAGCTTCCATGTGCTCCGGGCCGCGTTCCCAGGGGACGCGTAGAGGTGGGGACGTGGGGCTGGGGAGGCATTGCTGGCTGCGTAGGGCCTGCCTGGCAGCCACGCAGTGCTGCAGGAATCTGCTGGGGTTGCTGTCTCTCCTGCGTGCCTTTCTGCAGAGGCAAACCCGGCCGGTCTGTGCTCGCTGCTCAGTGTGCTTGCAAGCAAGTGAGCCCATTCACAAGAGCAGGGGCTGAGATAAATCTCTCCCTGAACCCAACGTGCTGGCTCCATCATCATGCACCCATCATGCCTCTTCTGCACAGAGACAGCTGAGGGCAGGCTGGGGAGCCATTACATAGCAGCACAGCTACTTGGGCAAGGGCATGTCATGGAGGATCCTTTCTGTGTAGGGGTGTGTTCCTTTCTTTGAAAGGGCTGGATGAAACACCGCTCTGGAGACAAATAGCAACAAGCCAATGGGGCTTCTGGATGGGGTTTTGGATGCTCCAGTTATGTAGGGTGTCTGGGTGCTAGGACCATCCCCTCCCCTGCCGGAGAAGTCTGGGATGTGGCAAAGAGATGCTCCGCTGCTTTTCAGGGGAAGAGGGACCCAGTCAGTGGTCCAGGCTGCCTTTTCCCAGCACCCGATGGTCTGCAGCAGCCTCCCTGCAGTAGCACTCTGTGGGACGGGGCCCTGCAGACCTGCTCTGTGACTGGCAACGACCTTCAGTGAGTCCAGAATGCGGAGGATCTGTGTCTCTGCTTGAGGTGGATGGATGCCTGCCGAAGATGGGGAGTGTTTGACTCGGGTGAGAGTTGGGACATGTCAGCACTGTCCTGGGAGGTAGCGAGCCTCTCTGTCAGAGGATGTCTGTTGTGAATCCATGAGGCAGGTGGGAAGCTGTCCTTGCATTTCCATACAAGGCCTGGGGAGTCAGCCTGTTGAAAAAAACCTTAGAGCATACCTGTTGGAAGGTGGGAGGAGCAGAAAGCTGCATATGTGAGCCAGGAGTCATGTCTGGGAGCCTCTAAATGCCTGCTTTGGCTCCTGAGCCAGGAGTGGTGGGCTCCATTCCTGTTGGGGTGCGGGCTGGCCAGCAAGCATCCAGCCCACGCTGGGCTGGGCAGGGCACTGGGAGCTGAAGCAGTCTGGAGCAGGTGTGCGTGTGCCATGGCTTCATCTCTTGCTGGGTGCTGCATGGGCATTGTTAGAAAAACTGGGGTTTTTATTGATCAAGGCAGATTAGGGTGGCAACGACCAGATGTTCAGACATGCTGCATGTGGCCTCCAAAGCACTTGGAAAAAATCCACTCTGCTTCACTGGGCTCAGTTGCTGATAAGCACCAGGGCTGCTGTGTCTGAGGGAAGCTTTGCAGGGCAGAGTTCTGAGGAGTGGACTCCCGGGGGGTGGGGGAGGCATTTCAGGAAGGGTTTGACCTGAATACGCTTTTGAGATAGCGGGGGGAAATCAATAAAAACCACAGAAAAGCTCTGCTCTGAGCTCCTCTGAAGCAGCATCTGCTGCAGGCTTGGACTAGAGGGGCAGGGCTGCCAGGGACCGTGGGGCTGGGGGAGGTGGATGGGACAGGGCTCTGTGGGAGGGATGATGCTGCCCCTCCTCTGAAGCAGCATCTGCTGCAGGCTTGGACTAGAGGGGCAGGGCTGCCAGGGACCGTGGGGCTGGGGGAGGTGGATGGGACAGGGCTCTGTGGGAGGGATGATGCTGCCCATGCTCTCGGTCCCAGGTCATCGATACAGTTGTACTGGGGCGGTGGCCTTGGAGGAGTGGGCAGAGCTGATGCTGGAGACCGTGGGAAAGCAGTTTCTGTGCTGGCTGCCTGGCTTGAGCAAGTCCCCACACGCCGGCCATGACTGCACGGGTTTGGGAAAACCTCAGGCGCGCTTGCTGGGACTCGGCTGGGCTGCGCAGGGGGCTGAGCCTTTGCCGCTCCTGTCGGTGGGGAACAGTTGGAGGTGCTGGGCTCTCGGTGGAGCTGGAGGCTGCTGTGGGAACAGTGCTGCATTTGCCACCCCACCGGCCCTCTCCAGACACTGCTCCGTCCCTCGGAGAAGCAGGGATGGGAGAGAGGAGCCCTTTCCCCAGTCTATTGTCTGCACTCCCTTCTGTTTTGAGTTCACCTGTGTGTTTTTTGACCTCCTCTCCTGCTGTCCCTGCAGCTCTCTTCCCTCCTGCTTCTTCACTGTGGTGGCTGGGCTATTTCTCCCATGACTCTCTGCGTCTAGACCTGGTTGTCCCGTGCCTTTGCCAGTCACACCAGAACTTCCTCCTCTAACAGGTCTGTATGGAAGAATATTGCCTTTCTCTATCAAAATGTGTTGATTATGGTGTGCTTGTTCACTGCCCTCCTTTGGGAGGGGATGTTGGAGGGGTCCAAGCCAATGCCTGTCCCTAGATCTGTGGGCTGCAGACCTCCTTGGGTGGCTGCAGCCTTGAGAGCCCTGGTGAGAGTGTGGGGGGAGGTGAGTTTTGACAGCAAAGGGGCTCATGAAGCCCTCTTTAGGGGGGTCCTGTCCCGCTTCATCCCCTTTCCTGGGTAGGAAGGAGCTGTGGAGCTGGGGCTGTCTCCACACCGCTTGTCACGCTGGGGAGAAGGGAGCAGATAAGTGACAGCTCTGTCCCTCAGCCATTCCCCGGGGGAAATAATGGAATGCGGGTTGCTGCTGCTTCTGTGGGAGTGTCCCCTGTTCTGCCCCCGGGACATGCCTTCCCCTCCTGCACTGACTGCAGGCAGCCTCTCCTTGTAGGGGAAGCTTTTCTCCAGCCCGAGGGGGGTCCTCCTGGGAAGAGGGAACCTCCTCGGCACATGGCCGGTCAACCTGGCTCAACCCCAACTGTTTGCTGTCATGGGGGAGGACCACCTGCCCCAAAGTGCCACTTCTCCAAGCTTAAATGCTGTGGCAGGGAGAATCCGAGTCACGCCTGGGGCTGTGCTGCTCTGAGACCCTCTTGCCAGCTCTCTGGTGGGTGGGAGTGGGTGTTAACGCTGTAAGATATTTTTTTCTTGTTCTGAGAATCTGTCTTAACGTAATCAGTCTCTTCTGATCACTCTTCTCTCCTCCTTTCCTCCCCCAAATCAATGAAGAGAGGGGCTCCTCCCCTTCCGGGTCACTTTTCTTCCCCTCACCTTGACACCAAGCCACCTCTACTTGTGCTTCCCTGTGCCCTCCGCCCCTGCCCCGCCCGTCCCGGGCACCCATCACCCATGGACGACTCGGAAGTGGAGTCGACCGCCAGCATCCTTGCCTCTGTCAAGGAGCAGGAGGCACAGTTCGAGAAGCTGACGCGGGCGCTTGAGGAGGAACGGCGCCATGTCTCAGCCCAGCTGGAACGAGTCCGGGTCTCCCCACAGGATGCCGGCCTGGGCTTGGCCAACGGCACGCTCACCCGGCGGCACCAGGTAAAAAGCCCCCTTGGCAGAGGTGGGTGTGGAGGCTCCTGCTGCCCCTGTCTGTGTCAGTCCTGCCTTGGCGGGTGCAGCCTTGCACCCGGCCCCTTCCTTGGGCTCTCCTCGGATGTGTGAGGCGGAGGAGGGCTGGGCTGTTAACACGGATGGTGCTGTTTGTGCTGGGGCTGAAGGTGGTAGGGGATGTGCAAACCTACCTTGGCAGCTAGAGCCTGCTGGGGAGGAGAACCCGGCCTGGAGGGTCTTGCTATCAGGTCAGCTCGGTTTTGGTATTGTGAAGGTTGGAGGCTGGCTGTATTCAGTACCTGGGCATCTCTGCTCCCCATCCCACTCAACTTCTTGGAAGGTGGCTGAAATGTAGAGTTGATGTATAGCTGTGGGGGCATGCATGTGTCTCCTTGTGTGAAATGAGCAAGTCCCTGGAGTCTCGGTTTATCCCCTAAACAGCCAAACCAGGGCTGGGAGAGATCTGTTTTGTCCGCAGCGCTGGAAATGTGGTTTTATCTGCCTCAGCTTGAGGTCTCTCTTCTGCCCTTGCTCTCCTGGGCTCTGTTTTGGAGAGGGCTGATCGGGGGGCTGGTGCGTGGTGTTGTGCTGGAGGCAGGTGCCTTTCCAGCTGTGGAAGGTGGTGGTGGTGATGCTAGGAGAGACGTGGGCTGGGGGAAGGAAGGGGTGGGCAGAGGGGGAGCGCAGGAGAGTCAAACTGTGGCACTCTGCAATCAGCCGCTGAGCATCTGCGCTGTTCCCTCGCAATCCCGAGGGGCCTCTGGGAGGTTGCTTGTGGCCCCTGCATCTGCAGATGTGGACGGTCTCTGGGGCTGTGCTGGGGAGCAGGGAAGGATCTCGGCCATTCTGTCAGGAGCCTGTGGGCACTGTGGGAGAACTGGGATGTCTTGGGGCGGGGAGAGGCTGAACGGCATGTCCTCCAACTCTTCCACAGGCTGGAGTGGAGGCTGGCTTGCTGCATGTTGCACTGACTGTTGAGGAGTGTCCTCCTCTCTGGGAGTGACACGGGGTGTGTGCCGAGTCTGTCAAATGTAGGAGGTGGTCTGCTTGGGGCCTGGCGGGGACAGGGGGGGATGTGTACATGGGGTCCTGGCAGTGGCAGGGCTGTGTAGTAAAAGGCTTGCTGTGGTGCTGTGTGTTTCAGAACGGCCGTTTCTTGGGTGATGCTGACCTGGAAAGGCAGAAATACCCAGATCTGAAGCTCAACGGGCCGCAGGTAAGGGGATCTGAGTCCTCTGGCTGTGGCCAGCCTGCTTGTTGGGTGGGGATTGTGGGGGGAGGGGTCCAGTGTCCCCACCCGAGCTGAGAGAGGGGGACTTGTGTTCCTAATTTGGCTGCCCAGGCTTGAAAGGGCTCTTGAGTGTGGGGTTGCTGGTACCCCTTCCCATGCAATAGGATATCAGGGCTCCCTGAGAGGTGAGATCTCTTGGCTGACTGATGCCAGGGAGGCTCATGCTGGCAGTAGGGGGGCTAACTGTCTGTCCCTTGCTCCCCTCAGGACCACAGCCACCTCTTGTACAGCACGATCCCCAGGATGCAGGACCCAGGCCAGATTGTGGAGGAGACGTACACCATGGAGGAGGACCCAGAAGGGGCCATGTCAGTTGTGTCTGTGGAGACATCAGATGATGGGACAACCCGGCGTACAGAGACCACGGTACAGGCCGGGGGAGAGCGTGGAGGGACAGGGCTCTGGCTGGGAACACTAACAGCTGTGGTGCTACAGCTGTGATATCTGCTGGCTTGCTGTGCTGCAAGCTGAGACAGGGTGTGAGATCTGCCTGGAGTAAGGTGCTGGGCTGGAAGGGGAGGAACCAGGGGACATGGGCATGTGATTGATTTCCTGATGGGAGAGTGTTCTGCATCCGTCCATCTAGGTGAAGAAAGTGGTGAAGACTGTGACCACCCGGACGGTGCAGCAGGTGCCGGTGGGGCCTGATGGGTTGCCTTTGGAAACCTCCCCTGTCACCAGCAATTACGTCCAGACCATGGACAGGAACTTCCACAAGAGCAGCAACGGGGGCCCCGGGGGCTACCTGAGCCAGCCAGGCACAGCCACCCTCCCTCGTAACTACCACTACCCCGACGGCTATGGCCGCCCCCATGAGGCAGGCTATCCGGGCA